AGCCCAGCAGCGAATATTGGAATTGAATGCTGGTACCTCGTCACTGTGTGTGAATTTGAAATTTAAAAAAAACGAGGGTAAACACAGTGGTGGCTGCTGCCTTGGCTGTGTCCCCTCTCTCCTGCCCACTAAGGACAAGGGTTCTGCCTCAGTTGCCTAAATCTCTCAAGTCACTTTGTTAGTGGCGACTTAGCCAGAATGACATCCTTTTACATTCATTGACTTTTTATAAAACCAATGAAAGGCGTGCAGGTGTTTGAGGGTCCAGACTCTTTACAGTTAAACAATTACAGGTAGTAATGTTGTTACTAGGAAAAGTTTTATTCGAGGCCTTCACTCTGGGTGCATCTGTTCATCCACCCAAGTGTAGCTCGCTCACTCTTTATCCATATAGTCATTTATCCATCAGCAGTTACTGTGTGTCTGTCACAGGCCGGGCGTTGTGCGCTGGAGATTCAGAGATAAGGATTCAGGCTCTGGCTGGAAAATATCCTCAGGGAGTTAGAGAAGCCATGGGAGCAGTGGTGAGGGTTGGTAAGGGCACTGCTGTGCAACACCATGGTATCACAGGGGCCTCACAGGTAACCCAGGAAGACAAGAGAAGGCACTCTCCGGGGGGGCTGACGGCCTTGTCACTAGGAATAGCTTGTCCAGAGGAAAGGAGAGGGAGATGTTCAAGAATAACAAAAGTGAGGCGAAAGCCAGAAATAGAGGCAAAACACAGATAACAATGGATTTTGGAAATGCTGGGGAGCCATGAGGGAGCTTTCAAAAGGGAATATGACTTGGTGAGAGTCACACTTTATTTTTTTATTTTTTATTTTTTATTATTATTTTTTATGAGAGTCACACTTTAAAATCACCGTGGTGGGGCACCTGGGGGCTCAGGCTTAAGCATCTGCCTTCGGCTCAGGTCACAAATCTAGGGTCCTGGGTCAGAGTCCCCACATCCGGCTCTCTGCTCAGTGGGGAGTCGGCTTCTCCCTCTCCCTCTGCTCCCCCTACTTGTGCTCTCTCTCTCTCTCTCTGCGTCAAATAAATAAATAAAATCTTTTAAAAATTAAGATAAAAAATCCACCGTGGTGATCATGTACAGAGTCAGAGGAGGACAGAAGTGGGAGCAGCAGAGAACTCCTGAGTCATGTGGACAAGCTCTGATGGGGACTTGAACCAAGGCACAAAATGGTGAGAATCAAAGAAAGGAACAGATTCACATGCTGTTGAAGAAGTAGAATTTATAGGGTGTGGTGCCTTTTTGGATGGTAGGGTGAGAAACAGGAGCAGTCTGAGAAGGTTCCCTGGTGTAGGATAGGTGGGAAGGAGTGCTTTTCCCTGAGATGGAGAATGCTAGAAGGACAGATCTGGGGAGGGGGGTAGATAAGATCATTAATTAAGTTTGAAACATGCTGAATCTCAGATGATGGTGATTATTCATGTGGAGATATCTGTCGGCGGTTGACTGCCCCAGGCTGGAGCACAGCAGAGATGTATGGGCTGGAAAGGATATTTGGAGTCCTTGGTATATGTAGTTGTTGAAGCCATTTATTCATTTAGAAAATATTAAGGGCGTAGAGTAGGACCAGCTTCATGGATGTGCAATTTATGGGTCACACAGGCCTCACTCTTGGAAGGGCCCCGCGTTGAGTCTAAAGCTTTGTTGTCACCATCTTAAAATTCTCATTAATTTCTAAACAAGAGGCCTTGCATTTTTATTTGGCACTGGGCCCTGGAAATTAGGTACCCAGTCCTGCTTATCGTACCTTGGCCCTGTGTATAGTAGCTACAGGGCTACAATGTTGACTAAGGCAGCCATGGTTCTCGCCTTAAGAACTCACAGGCAAGGATGTTAAGCCATCAATAGCAAGATGGGATGTGTTCTATATTAAGAGTGCCAGGCTAAAGGAGCATGTGGGGGAGGCTGCTAAAGCTAATCTTGGAGCTTAAGGAGTTAGGACATGAGACTCCCCGGGAAGAAGAGTAGAGAGACAAGATGGTAGCCCACAACACCAAAGGAAGCATAGAGAAGGGAGCCTCCAGGACATAGGGAATCTAGGAGGAGGAGTGTCCCAGAAGCCAGGATCAGGAGAGTGTTAAATGATGCCAAGCAGACTAGGAATGAAGTCATATCCAGTGGATATAGTAACAAAGAGGCCATTGGGTGATTCTTGACACGGTTGGATAGAGAGGGGGGCAAGAATGAATTTACTTTAAGGGATCAGTGGGAGGTGGGAAAGTACAGCCCCTAACTGTAGATTATTATCTTAATAGGAAAGAAAAGAAAACAGGCCCTGAAAGGTGGGTTTTGGATTAGGAGAGTATCCTTTTTGTTTGGTTGGTTGGTTTGGTTTGGTTTTAAACAAAGTGTTTTGAGCATAGGTCGGAACTATGGGCAGAGAGCCATAGGAAGGAGAAGTTGAGGATACAGAGGGGGAATAACTGACAGAGGGAAGCCCTGAAGTGGGGAGTGATGGATGGACTTACCCTGGTCAGGAAGAGAAGAGAACAAGGTAGCAGAGGGAGCAGGTGAATTTCTAGGTGAGGACCCCTCTTGGCTCTCCGAAGTCAACGTCACTTCACTTACCCACGTGAGCATCCGCTGCCTCTCGCTTCCTGCCTCAATTTCAAGGGGAAAGCATCTCCTGAGTTACCTCTTCTCATATTCAACAAATATTTATGGAGCTCCTGCTGTGTGGCAGGCTAAGCATTTGGAATAGAAGAGCAAACTAATAAGACAAGGCCCTGATCTCACACGTAGGTCCCACAAGTGGATCTTCCACGGCTTGATGGTGCAGTGTTGGCTCCTCCCCGCACACCCTCCTCCTCTGTGGTCTCTAACACTGTCTTCTATCCTCCCTACCTTCTTCCTTGGACTCATTTTCTTCCGCTTCCCTCCGAGATAGCCAGCGTTCCTAGTTGGAGCTTAGAAGCTGGAATTCAGGGACCATGTAGAAAAGGGGAAGGAGTTAAAACTAGCTTTAAGCAGAATTTTGAAATAGAAGGTTGCCTTTGGAATTTATTGCCTAATGGCTTTTGACCTTATTCCCCTGGTTCTCAGAGCCCTTCTTGCTACTTTGAAATTAAGCTCTAACCTAAAACTTCCTCTGAAGCTCTCTCTCTCCATCCTCCATCAAAACCCTACTCCCTTATTCTGGAGTTAGTTGTACCTGATAAGTTAGGACAGAGACCATTTGAATGAACACACTGATCTGTGAAAGGTGGGTATCACCTTTCTTGGGAGGGGGGATTGCATGTTACAAGTGACACTGGATTTTTAAGAAGGAGCTTTTAATCTGTCCTATTTTGGGCATCATAATAAAAGAAACAATGTGAATATTACATCTTCTTCCCAGTCAGCTTCCCTCAAGTTTTCCATTTTCTCATAGCTTCCACTGGTTTCTTTTAGACCCATTAATTCTCTAAAGCCCCTGTGACTTTTTGTTGCCATCTCCTCCCTTACCTGCCCTCCCACCAGTTTCTATGAGACCAGCAACTGGGCACAGGGTTAGGGCTTGGGGGAGAGGTTGGGACAACTGCAGCTACTTATAGGGACTGCTTCTGAGTTGGAGATCACCTCTGTGGTGGGGAGGGGTGCCTGGGGCCTCCTGCACAAAGAATGCAGCTGACCCTGGAGTCAGTGAGGCATCCACCCAGAGCTGAGCTCATCGAGTATAGGCGTTTCCTATTCTCCTGGCTTTTCACAGAGAAGTGTGTTGGGTTCCAGGCCTCTGGCTCTCTGGTACCTGAGAGCTCTTGGGTTCCTGTAGAATGCATTTTGCAAGCCACTTCACCAGTTGATAACTAGAAAGTGGTTGTCATGAACCACTTCAGAACAAGAAGATCTAGGAATAGGAGGCTCCGTCTGGCATAGGCCTAGGGAAGGTCGCTCCATAGTTATCAATGCTGTGGTGTCTCCCTTAAGTATCTCCTTTGGGGAACTGTTCTCTCAAGTCCTGGAGTCAGTAGTAGCTCTTGGGCACATTTTTTGGAAGTGTGTGAATTTCCTAACCATCAGGATGAGATGAGAGGCTTTTTTTTTTTTTCCTGGACCCAGGATAGTACCCTAGAAACTCAGGAGTCTAAGTCAGGTGTTCACAGATGGTAACATGCCTATGAATCACCTGGGGATCTTATTACAATGAAGATTCTGATACAGTAAGTCTGAGATGGAACCCGAGAGTCTGCATTTCTAATAAGATCCCAGGTGAGGCCAGTGCCACTGGCCCACAGACACTAAGAGTAACAAGGATCTGGAGCTCTCTATTACATTAAACACTAGCCACTTGTGGCTTCTTAAGGATAAATTCATTAAAATTAAGTGAAACTAAAAATTCAGTTTCTCAGCTGCACTAAGCATAATTTAGAGGCTTGTTACCCACACGTGGCTAGTGGCTGCCGTATTAGATTACACAGATTAAAATATTTCCTTTATCATGGAGAGGTCTATTGGAGAGCACTAGTCTAGAGTAAGCCTTAATTTGCGTCATTCACTTATTCATCCATTTATTCACTGAGCACCTGTTATGTGCCAAGTAGGATGGTTGGTGCTGGGCATTAACAGATGGTTCTGGTAAGCCAACTGGAATGTAATATTCTAAAAGTAAAGATACCTGTAATATGGTGAGGGAGCTATAGTTGGTAACAGTGAATGTTACCATGTAGGTTAGAGGAAAAGGTACCCCTTGGGCATTTCATGTGTGGGTTGTTTTTTTGTTTTTTGTTTTCTTTTATTTTTAAGATTTTATTGAGAGGGAGAGAGCATGCACGCGCAAGTGTGTGCGAGTCAGAGGAGAGGGAGAATCATACACAGACCCTGCGCTGAGTGCAGAGCCTGATGCAAGGCTCGATCCCATGACCCTGAGATCACAACCTGAGCCAAAATCAGGAGTCTGAACCGATTGAGCCCCACAGGCTCGGTATGTTCTGAACCAGGCTACGGAGTGATCATAGAATTGAGGTACTTACAAGACTGGCTACTGACAATACCCTTTTTACCATTTCAGGGCCATAATCATCAGAAACGGAGAAATCATCCCCATGTCTTCAGAATTTACCCCCGAGACTGAGCGCCAGCGACTTCAGTACCTGGTAAGAGTCCTGTCGGTTTGGCAGAGCGCCGTGGCGTCGGGGATGGTGTCGGAGCTGTTCTGGAGGAACGTGTAGCTATTGACATGGGAGCAGGCTCACGGCAATCAAACGACATATGGTATTAACTCCCCCACACACACCTTCTGGATCACACATCCTGGCTCCGTGTGTGACGACACACTCCACCTCCGTGAATTTATTATTATTGCGGCTGTTTCTCTCCCATCTGTAACCAATCGAAGACACGATGTGCTCTGTTTCTTTTAATGGGTTGGTATGTACAATATGAAGTGCATGTTGAGTAACACAGATACCTTTCTTCCTTGGCCTGCTACTCACTCTAACTGAAAATGGGGGCTCAGGCCTGAGGAGCATGGCAGCCCGCGATCGTGCTGGCAGCCCCCCCAACTTCACACACAGATATGAAGTCTCAAGGGCCCTTTGGGAAAGATGCAGGTGTCAGAAAATCTGTTTCTATCCTGAAAATAAGTTCTCCGTGTAGATCACCCTCTTTGGAGTGAAATTTTGAGTGGGCTAGAGGAGGGCTGTTTGGTTTTTCAGATCTTGAGCATTTTTGCTTCGCCTAGAGATTTGAGTTTTCTGGAAAAGAGAATACACTTCCCTGCCCTCAAATTCTGGAGCTAGGGCATTTGGCTTAGAATCTCAATTCAGTGATGGTGGCAATCATGCCAGGTTACTTTAGACATCTTTGGGGACTAACAGCTTGAATCGTAGTTATATGGATGAAATATTTTCATGCCAACTGGTTTTCTTTTAAGACAAGATAGCTAGACTAGCGATCCTCTGCTCTTAGGGAAAAATTGATCCGACTGACTCCAAAAGGACTTTGCTCCTGTCTTTGAATTTCGGTGTGTGTGAACAGCCAGGGTTTGATTATTTTGGCCGATTTAGAAAGTGGCTGTGCACTTCCCCTCAATTCCCATGTCTGTTTAGTTGGTTTTGCTCAATATCCAAGCTGTGTTGCTCTGGTGCATAATGACAGCAGGAATCCAAACCCGGTGTAAAAACGTCTCTCCACTCTTCTACCAACTGTTGTTCTCTACCCTTTCTGCTGTTTCTTTTTCAAGTGAATAACCTTGCAGCCACTCCTGGGAAGTCCAGGCTTCAGAGCTCTCACTCCTTTTGGCAGAGGCAGGGCGAGCGGTCCTGCGGCAGCCACAAAAGATCCCTGTTCCAGTCTCAGCTCTGTAACTTGCTGGCTGGGTAACTTTGTGCGAGTCTCTTAACCTTTCCAGGCCTCGGCGTGTCAGTCACGCAGTGGGAAGCTAGACTGGGGGGTCACCACCAAGGACCTTCCAAGTAGAGTTCATGACAACTGCCTTCCTTGTCACCTGTCTGGCTTGTTCTAAACCCGTCTTCTGCAAAGCCACCCAAGTGATCTGATCATGGACTGTCACCCCCCTACCTAAAATCGTTTGGCTCCTCACAGTGTACAGAATGCAGGCCCCACCACTCAGCAGACCCAGAATCAGGGTCCCCATCCACCTCCCCTGCATCATTTCCCTGTTGCCCCTACCAATGCTACCACGCCTCTCAGCTGCAAGCAGAGAACCACCTTCCATTTCTGGGGCAACCTTGATCTCCCCGACTTCCATGCCTTTGGACATATGCTCACCTGGATGGCCCTTCCCTGTCCTCTGCCATCCTTTGAGACCCCAGCATAAATGTCTCTTCCTCTAGGAAGCAACTGCTATCCCCCCCGGCCCCGCCAGGGCTGGGTGTCTGTCCCCCGTGCTCCCATGGAGGAAATGCCCTGTAGAAGCCTGAGGCATGGCTCTGAGCCCGTACTATTGCTCTGCTGGTTGCCGTCTCCCTCTCCCCTTCCAGACTGAGTCCTGGAGGCAGGCTCCGTGCCCTAGTCCCTTCCTGTTGCCAGTACCCAGCACAGAGGAGATACTGAATCGGGATTTGTTGACTAACTGAAGGAAAGAACCAATATTTGTATTGACATCTGGATCATTCCCACACAGCATTCTCCCCTCTGCCGTCCCCTGAACCCTGTCACAGCCTTTCTGTGCCTCAGCCACACCCTGTCTTCATCACCTTTGGTGATGAACTTTGGTGAAAACTATGCCCTATTTTCCTGCTCAAGGCAATGGCAAACAGCAGGCTGACTTTTTTTTTTTTTTGAAATAGTTTCACATCTTCATGTTACAGGAATGGTACAGAGAGCTCAAAACACTAACTTTTAGGGAGGGATGGCGATGCTGACGTTTTATCAGTCTCCTAAATATTTCAGTGGTTGGAGTGAGATGCGTGTTGCCTCTGATCTCAGCTTCGTCATGTAGGTGTCTGTGATTTCTACAAGGCCCCTCACTGATCCCAGCTTCGTCACCAGTAACGGGCATAGAAAGCCTTAGAAGACAGGGGTAAGGATTAAGTAGAAATTCTATGCAGACTCCTTTTGTGCACAGAGCAGTCATTTGATTATTGTTTGATGAATCAGCCTTGCCGCTTCAAATCCCCCTGGTCTGCTGCAAACCGCAGTGATTCTTCTTCCTTATTTTTAATTTGAGACTCCCTCCTTCTGCTCCTAAGACTGATGTATATTTCCGTGTCACTCTGGAACAATCAGGGTGTACCCCCTTAGCCCACAGAACTGAGCCTAACAGCTGAATTTCTGAAAGGTAAGAAAGCCGTCCCCATTCTTCTTAATCCTTACTCCTAAATCACATGGGTTTCTCGTATAACTACTCTCTCCCGACCGCAGGAGAGGAAACGATCAGAACGTAAAATATCCTGGTTGTCCAGCTTCCTCTTCTGTCAGGAATCTAGAAATGGAGGCTCTGAAGTGAACAAATCCGGTAATAATAATAATAATGGTCTCATGACCTGCGATGCAAATCCTTGTGGGGAAGTTTTTGAGAGAATTAGGGGACTCAGCGTAAAATAACCTTGTGGTGAAGCCTTTTTGGTAAAGTATTTGAGAGAGTTAGGCTAATAGCGTAGAGTATTAAAAATCGTATCAATTGTGAGAGGAAGACAGTAGTGTGATGACTTGTCGCAGCCCAGCCCAGCGCAGCCCAGGCGGGAGCTGTGTGGCTCCAAGCCCCGCACACCACGTCTCCAAAGCTCTCCTAAGTGAAATGTGTAGGATCCCTCCCGAGAGAGATCCACTGTAGGTTCTGAGATCAAAATGAAAAGCAACCCCATGGTAGTATAAAACACAGTATATATCTCAAAATTTTAAGTGCATCTAATCCTATCAGCTCATTTTTTTTTTTGGAAGATCAGTTCCCTTGAACTAATAATGAAGCACTTCGGTGCCCTGGGGATTGTTGTCCGTTCTGTGTGATCTGAATGAGTCCGTACACCACTGGACAGTTGACAGTTTAGTCCTTATTCTTAGGTCAAATTAAACTTTCTCTTTATGATGTGTGAAGAAACACTTATGATAGACTCACTATAAAACTTCCAGGTCCTGGGATCCCTGGGTGGCTCAGCGGTTTGGCGCCTGCCTTTGGCCCAGGGCACGATCCTGGAGTCCCGGGATCGAGTCCCACATCGGGCTCCTGGCATGGAGCCTCCTTCTCCCTCTGCCTGTGTCTCTGCCTCTCTCTCTCTCTCTCTCTCTCTCTCTCTCTCTCTCTCTCTCTCTCATAAACAAATAAATAAATAAATCTTAAAAAAAAAAAACAAAAAACTTCCAGGTCCTTAGAGACTTGACTTGAGCTTGTGTCTGCAATCCGACTCGTAGAAACGGTTAACGGTTTTCCTGGCAGTGGGGAGGATTGAGAGCCCGTTGTACGTGAGCAGTCTCGATCCGCACGGACAGGGAATGTTCTTGGTATGCACGCCCTGGACGTTTGGGGATTACAGACCTGGAAGCGGATTACGAGATGATGGATGTGGCAGGCATGTTAATTTTGTTTGGTCTTGCAGCCTGCCCTCCGAGGGCCCTTCCTGCAGCTCTCTGGTAATGTGAACTTTGTTCCATAGATTCTTGGACAGGGTGATTAATCAAACAGGCTTGAGGGTTTGACGTGTTCACACGGAACGCGACAGGTGTGTGATGAAGGGGTCAGGGGCTGCGGACCCCTGCCCCAGCAGCCGGGGAGAGCTGCTGCCCTACAGCCATGAATAAGCCTTGCCCTTCTGTCACTGTGCCTTTTAAAGCATTTTTTTTTTAATGTTTCCGGGATGATTGAAATAAAATATTTAAGGAGGTCCAGCAAGCTAAACAGAATGTTCGGATGGAGTCAGGGTGCAGAGAGGAGGGAAAGCAGTCCGGGCATGGACGTATCTCAGCGGGATTTACTGCTTTGCTGCTGTGGCCTCCAGAAAGCCACCCCCATCTTTGCTTCAGGTGACAGCCAGAAATGGATCTCCCTCAGGGGGACCTCTGTAGCCCCCAAGGTGGGAGAGTGACGGCTCCCCCTCCCTTCTGCCTAGACATATTTATAAACTCTGATTTGATTACATTAAGATGTGCTGGTATCATCAAACCTTCAAGTAATGCACTTCTGTCCTTGTAGATAATCCAACTCTGCAGCTGTTTTTCATCAAGGGCAATGTACAGAAGAGATGAAAGTGGGTTTCAGATACACATTTGATAACGTACAAGTGCAACACCAGCTGAGGTGACTTCTTGTGGTGTCCTTGAAACTACCCCCAGCCTTCTACGCCGAGTGTGATTCTGTTTGCATGGTATTTCCCTGGTGCCGGGTTTGGAAAGGTTTCAAGGTGGACAGTGTTGCACCTCTTGGCTTTTCAGATTTGTCATGCTCAAAAGTTAGCTCCCAAGAAGTATATTCCTTAACTCTGAACCTGCTTTTAAAACAGGATGCCAGGGCATCCCTGGGTGGCTCAGCGGTTTAGCGCCTGCCTTTGGCCCAGGGCGCAATCCTGAAGTCCCGGGATCGAGTCCCACGTCAGGCTCCCCACATGGAGCCTGCTTCTCCCTCTGCCTGTGTCTCTGCCTCTCTCTCTCTCTCTCTCTCTCTCTCTCTCTGTCTATTGTGAATAAATAAATAAAATCT